CAATATTGGTTATCTGGTTTCATCTGAAGATATTTCTAACTCTCTCGAAATGTGAACTTGATTATTGGAAGACCCTCCCATGGATGATTTATTCTTTTCTACACAAATGAAAAATTAGAACAGCAAAGGATGGAAACCCTGCTCTCTTAAGCCTGGAATCTTATTTGCATCACTTTGGTGCCCCAGGCTTATGAAGGGCAAGGTGAATCACTGAGACTAATGTTCTGAGTCACTTTGTGTAAAGAATGTACCAAAGGTGGGAAGATGTATTATGTACTTCCTTGCCCAAGCACATAGTAAAATTCTACCAAAATCTACTTCTTATGACATAGTATGCACAGTTCCACCCCCACACGAGTACAAAATTAATCCAGTTGCACAACGCCATTTTTATATGAGAGCAAGAAGCAGAAAACAGCCATGGTATTCTCTTATTACTCCCTCATCAAATGTCATAGCTTTCCACCCCTTCTCCATTTAACTTTTACTTATGTATCATGATTTTCAGATATAGGATTATCGAAGTTACACTTCCAAGAAATTTTATATACGGTGATTCTCATGAAAAGTTAAGTTAAAAAGAAGATAGTAAAAAAGCACTACTGTACCATGGGCAGCCAGTAAAGCAAAGGTCCTATTGCATAGATGACTATAAGGACGAAAATGCAAGATATTAGACAAGCCACCTGTAAAATACAAGACAGACAAAAAAAGAAAGCCTTGAACTCTTTATTATTCCAAAGTTATGGGGGTGGGGGAGATAATTCTTAGTTCATCTTGATTAGAAGAAGCAAAATGTTGGCACATAACTGTTAAATTGCATAGACTGTCATTATCTATATTTTGCAGCTGAGGGAAGCCAAATGTGACAGCTGACAAACTGGTGCAATCAAATTAAGTCAGTGATGAGAGAAAAGCAATTCCACACAAAGAAATAGGACACCATCAACTTTTATCACACATCACAGTGATGGCTTTTTTGTTTAATAGTGAAAGTGGCATTTCAATTAAAAGTTCTTTAGCCTGTTGTTGTTTAGCCTGACTCCCCTCTTTATTTTGTAGGAGGTGGTTTGGGTAATAACTGAATACGCAGCTTAGGATTTTTTTGTGCTGATGATAAATTTCCACCAAAGCATTTACACTCTTCTTTGGAGTTCTTTGTTAGTAAGGGCTGTAGCTATGCACTGGTTATAGGGGATACGGGAGCAGTCTCTGGCATTGGAACAGACTTAATTTTACTAATCCTGAAAAGTCCTTAGTATCATGTTCTACCCAACTGAGCCTGCTGACAAAAGGCAATTCAAAACACCTGACTCCTACAGCTATGGCCCACTTGACGGAGAACCTGATTTCATGTAAGCAAATGTTCATGACTTAATAAAAACGTTTAGCCAAACTGTCATCCTAACAAGAGAGAAGATGGCTTTCACAAGACCACAATGATGCCTAGCACATCATTGTGGAGATATCAAAGGGAATTTGGACCTATTAAAATGGCTTAAATTAAAAATAAATATATAAACAATCAATATCAAGGGCTTGCAAGGACTCAGAGCAATTGGAGTTCTCAGGCAGTGTTGGTGGGATTGCAACATGGTACAGCCACTTTGAAAACAGTTTGGCAGTTTCTTATGGAGATACATATATACTTACCATACGACCCAGGTCTGCCTAAGGGGAATGAAAACAATGAAAACATATGCCCACCTGAAAATATATATGTAAATATTTATAGCAGCTTTATTCGTAAACACCATAATCTGTAAAAAACTGAAATGTCCACCAATCGGTGATTAGATAAATTGTCGCACATCCATAAAATAAAATACTACTCAGCAATAAAAAAAGAACATGAATAAAACTCAAAACCATTAAGCTAATGAAGGAAACTAGACACAAAAGGCTACATACTATAAGATCCTATATCTACGACATTCTGAAAAAAAGGTAAATTATAGGATGCCAGGGGCTGGAGGAGGGGGAAGAAAACTGATGACGAAGGGGCATGAGACAGCTTTTGGGGTGATAAAAATATTCTATATCTTGATTGTGCTTACAGTTATAAAACAATATACGTTTCCAAATAAAGTGAACTTCACACCTTAAAAGGATAAATTGTACTATATCTAAACTATACTTCCATAAACCCAATTTTTTAAAGAAGAAATTGGGGAAGGGTTCTGTGATCGTAGCTTTCATGCAGGTGTACACACCCAAAGTCAAAGCCAGCATCACACTTTCCCTGAACCTGGCACTGCTAAAAGGTGTATGTGTAGGGAGAGGGAGAGAGGAGAGGGAATAACTGTAACTAATCAGCTAAGCAAGCGGGCATTCAAAGGGACACAAGAACAGGCCTTTCCTTGTTGGCGGAGGCTGAGGACGTCTGTTCACCCTTCCATTTTTTGTGGAACTCTTCGTCAGCACACCCAAAGGGAGAAATAATTCTTACATAGGAAATGAATCATTAGGGAACTGATGATTGCCCATAAAAGAAGTTATAATACACCAAATAGTCACTATACTCCTATATTTAGGAGTAACTAGTGATTTTATATGATAAAAATTTTTTAAACAATAAAATGTTAATGCTTGTCATTCCACCAGACTGCAAAGAGCTGGGTGTCAAAGTGTAATCACAGGATCCAGCCAGAGAGCCCAGTATGTGACTTAGCAAATCCATGTTTATATGGAAGGAAAAAAACATACCAACTGCTAAGGTTTATTTCAAGACAAAAAGACAATGGCATGCACCCTTTTTGTGGGACTTTTCATTCATACCCTTACAATGTACCTGAAGCCAGAACCCTAAGTACAAGGAGCTGAAACGAACTTTGGACAGAAGGAGTCCAAACTTCTTGGAAGGATCTGAGGCACAGCAAGGCAAAGCGACTTGCCCAAGGTCCTAGAGCTAGGGAGTTAGAACGCGTGCAGGCAACATGGAATACGTACTGATTGGGATCCATGAAGGCCACATATATTTTAAGGTTCCTAGATAAATTACAGTACACTAGAGCTGTTGTAGAAATTACAATGTGACTAAATAATTCTAGTATTTAAAAACAGTAAGTCACAACTACATTTGGGCTTTTGTCTAAATAACATTTAATATCTCTTTTATTTACATGATGCTTTGTATGTATCAACAACAGTTCACTTACTGAACTACAATTTCAGTCTTGTAATCAGAGTAAGGCAAGAATTAACTGGATCTCATTTGGCAAAGGGTGACAAACTATGGGTGAAAAGGACTATCTATTTACTTTAGATGGTAAGTCATATAAAGAAAGAGACCGTATAAGCAAATGGCTTATGTTAGCTCCCATAATGCACTTGCCCTATCATTGTTGACACCCTAGGTCAAAAGAGAAGTTAAGTACCTCTAACTGCACAAGAGAAGTGCATCTAACTGGACAAGAAAGACTTATCAGTTCTGCCTGGTGTATCTACCCCCAAGTCATGGAAATTAATAACGTAATAGTGTCTGCCTCAAAGCTCTCAAAATACTGAAATTCATTCTCTCCATAAATAAGAGGCCCAGATGCTGAAGTTTGGATTTGTAAAAAATCTTTGCGATCATGCAGTCCAAGCCATCATCCATAATTGGCCAGCTCAGTAATTTCAAAAAGAGCTTAAATTAAGATCAGATATTTGCAGCGCTATGCAATAGACTTCTCTAACTTCAGGTTTCTATAATAACCCACTTGAGCTATATTTCCAAGGATCTTCATATTTGTTACTTTCCAGAGGAGGTAATATTTTCTTGCATTTCTCTGATCCACTGGGAGAAAATTTTAAGCAAGTTACAACTAGAACAAGAGAGATAAGCTTGTTCCTTTTTTTTAATCTCAGAAAACAAAACTGAAGTAGCTCCTTCTTGGTAAGTTTCAGGTTGGCTTAGGTTGTAACTAGTAAAGAAAAGTGTTCACATACTTAATTATCGACAGGGCAAACACTGTCTAGAATTTTACTCTTCAGCTCTTTCCATGTCATACTAAGTGTCCAAAGATAATTTTTTGTTTTAAAATCATCACTGCTCATATTTAAGAATTAATTCCACATAAAAGATAATGAAAGAATCTATATTTTCTTCTTGATACATTCCCAAATATTATATATGTGGTGCATGTTACTTAGAAATATAATAGTGCAGGCATTAGAGTTATCCAGACCTACACGTTGGTTGAGATAGTAGTCGTTTCCACCCTATGTAGTTGTCAAAGAATGCAAAGTAGGTGACGAGCTCACAGCACACACAGTGTTGTAGAAAGTCGTGAAATGATGAAAGAGGTGGGGAAGGGCAGAAAGAGAAAAAAAGAGAGGATACTGGGTAACCAAGGCTAGGTTAAGAAGGCTTTCAAGAAAATTAAAGCAATGAGCCAAATTTCGAAAGAATAACGGAATATAGTTTGGCAAATTAGAACCTGGGGACAATCTCAATGTTGCGGAAAAACACGCCAGCTGTTGTTTTCAGTTGTGGCTGAGCCGCATCTGCAGCAGACGTGGTCTCTTATCCCTCGTGGTTACGCCTCCTGAACTCCCTGAAGAACATCAGTGTGTCTCCTCTGCTGGAAGTGAACAGAAGCATGCAGGAGTAGAGCCAGGGGACACTGAGCTCCCTCCCATGCAACATTCTTTAGAGAGAAAGAGGGAAGGAAGAAATAGAATATTTATTTGTGCTATTTATCTAAGCAGAATTACTTGTCTGAGCACGTAACTGGAGAGCTGAGAGTGAGGGGGGAGCAGGCCACGAAGCACGCAGAGCCCGGTGGGCAACAGACAGGGCTGAATCCTAATAACTGTGCAAAGCCTTTCATGGGCCTGAAGCAAAAATAACATGACCCTATTTGCATTTTCAAAAGATGACTTGCCCCAGAAATACTGTAGTACGGAAATATTGATAGTGTTTCTGAACAAAAGTCAGTTGGTAAATTCGTTAACAAATGGAAGGTGGTTATCACTGGTCCTTCGATTGGTTGTCATTAGCCTAAAAGTTGAAGAGCTGTGATGTCTTCTAGATTAGTTTACTGGGTATAAATCTAGTCCCTAAAAGAGACAGAGGTATTTAAGGGGTTGTTTTGTGAAGCCATGTCACATAGAAAACAGCTTTCACAAATTGCCTATTTAGAACAAAACTTTTAAGACTTGGCTCGCCTGGTACTTTCTTCAAATCATGTCAGTTATCGGTGATACCCGCATAAACTTAACCGTTGTAGTGTTACGGGTCTGAGATGACTCCCACAGGAAAGGGTCCTCATTGTGGGTGTGCACATTAAATCAGAGTCTTTCTCTGATTAATGGATATAGCTGAAAAACTTAGAGACCATCTCGACAAGCAGAGCAGTATGAAAATATTCTGCTACAGAGCTTTATTTCCCTGAACTAGTGTTTTGTTAGATTTCTTTCCATTTTTTTGAAGTCTGATGAATAGAAAGAATATCATGCAGAAAATTTTTTTTAAAAAACTGTGTTAAATAAAAAGTCCTTAGAAAAGTTCTCTTGTTCTAATCATTCAAACCTGTGGCCTCCAGAACAGTGAAAAGAAGGAGCACCCCTCCAACCCAACCCTATTAATCAAACAAATTTATGCTCAAGTCAAATGAAAAAAAAAAAAAACCCAGATTTAAAAATCAGTACAAGCTTTCTCAGAGTATTCTGTCTTTCAGACATTTGATGTTGAAAGTTACAAAGATTAACCAGGTGGTTTCATTATTACTAAAGTAGGAATTTAAAAAGCAACTGCTTTTAAATGCCTAAGGAAACCCCAGATATAGAACACATTCAAGGTGGAAACACCTCAGGGACCTACTCTAACATTTTTTGCTCCTGTGACAAATGAAGATGCTAACTTGACTTGCTTAAGGATCCTGCGGCTAATTGGAGGGCAAACTTGGACTAGAAAATTGTCTTGCTGCATCCCAACCAAACCAGCACATTTTAATATTAAATGTTTAAAAAAAAGATTCTGGAAATATTTTATTATTTTAAAAATACTTAATAATAACAAAATCAATGATAATTGGTAACATTTAAAGAGCATTTATTTGGTGTTCAAGCATTGTGCTAAATAAGTATGTACTAACTCCTTTAATCTTTATAATATTTCTACTTTAACAGCCAAGTCCTCTTAAGCTAGAGAGGTTAAGTTAATTGAGTTACTTGTGCAAAGTCACCCAAACACAAGTGATGGAGCCAGGGGACGACCCAGGCTCTGAAACCCACACCCCTAGCCACTCACTATGTTTATCAAATCTGAACACGAAGAAAGAAACATAATATATCCACTCTGACGAGAAATCAGGTGAAAACTACTATAGAATCCTAGAATTTTATAGATAGAAGAGTCCTCAGAGTAAGGGATGACATTTAAGTAGACTATATGTTAAACATTCAAAGTTAGATCACAGACATTTGAGAGTATAGTTTACAAAAATGTTTATGCTGTTACACATGATAAACCTACACTTGAAATCACTAGCTGTGTAAAATCAACCAAATTATTTGTGTCACCTAATAAGGTTAAATGAGGATTTCACTTCCTACCTGATGAGTTGTGGCAATTATTTGTCAAATTATAATACATTCAGAATTTGTCATTGCTTCCCCTGTGCTCTATGGTATATTGATATTAATTTTATCAATTTGTTTTATACTGTATTTTAATACGCATTGACCATTTTTCTCTTGCCACTTGCTCCCAAGGTCAAGAACCACATACTTTTGAAAATTTATTTTGCTACCACTTAAAAAAAGTATTTACTATAGGAGAGATTCTTAATAAATGTTTGACTTGTCACATACAGTGTTTTAATAAATTCCCATTCAATTCCTATTTTAAACATAGAGTGTATCAATAATAGTTAGCTGTTAATGTACATTTCTGATATTAATCTATGCATCGATTATCTTGTATGGAACAATGGTTAAGAGTACAAGATCTGGAGTAAATCTATTTGGGTTCAAATCCCTGCTCTGCCATTTACTAGCTCTGTGACCCGGATAAGTTGTTTTAACCCTGTTTTCCTCAACTTCTAGACTATCTCATGTAGAAACTGAGGGTAATAATTATACCTCTTTCATAGGGTTGCCTAAATAAGTTTGTTCACATAAAAAGTATGGCACTCAATGTCTGGCACACAACTCAATATTTTCTCCACTGACATCACGACCATCATCATCATCAACAGCAATATCTTCACTATCATCATTATCATCCTCTTATCAGTACCCAGGATAATGCCTGGTTTATCACAGGCTCTCAACACATGTCGAATTGATTTGCATTCCTAAAAAACATAATAATTGTTTCTTTAACTCAAAATGTGTGCAGACATCTTATAACAATTATATATCTCTATGTATAGGAATTTCAGTGTCAAGGGGTTATTTTGCATATAATTTATTTTATTTTATTTAAAGGAAATGAATAAAAACGGAAAAATATGATGTTGACTATGTAGATGAGCTAAAAGAACAAAAAAATTCAGAGCTACCACTAGAGGGAGCTTTCGTTCCAAAGATTGCTAACAATAAAGCTGCCATTCGTGCAGAATTTTTTAGTTTGCTCATTGAACCCTCAGCTTCTGGAAGGGTCATTCATAGGAAAGAGAAGACAAAGAGAGACTTCCTTGAAGCTACTTGGAAAAATTTCAAGGAGTGAAAACTTTCAGGACTTTAAAGAGAAGCTCAATCTTCCCACCCCCAAGAATAGGAGTGAAGGCCCGGCGGTCCCTTTGTCCCTGCGGAACAAGTCAGTTACCTGTGTCTTTGCTCCCGTGCGGTACAGGCCCGCGGTCCTGCCCATGGCAGCAGCACTTGGTATGCAGAAGAAAAATGAAGGAATCACATTGCTGAGGCCGTGGGCCAAAAATTCCTGCAAGATTCGTAACAGGAGAATGTGTGATTTCTTAATCACAAACAACTTTTAGAGACCACAGGTACCATTTGTCAAATAACTAGGCTTATTTATATCCAGTTTCTGTTCTCCCCACCAGGTGATATTTAACAATTATAATAAAAATAGCTAATACTCATTGAGTGCTTACAATGAGCCAGAAACTGTTCTAAGCACTTTATTTATTTAATTGTCATAACAACCTTACGGGGAAAAACTACTTATTTATGCTGTTGTCAATTTCTCCTCCATCTTGTGAGTCATTAAAATCAGGCTTTTACTCCCACCACTCAACCAATGGCCTCCACAATGTTAAGTACAACAGTTTGTTCTTACCTGACTTGACCTAACAGAGGCATTTGACACAGTTGCTTGCCTCTCCCTTCTACAGGCTCCTTCACTTGGCTTCTGGAACCTTACACCCCACCCCTGCAGTTTCTTCCTACCTCCCTGGCCACCACCTCTCAATTTTCTTTGTGGTTCCTTCTCCTCTAACCGATTGAAAATATTGGACCACTTCTCTTATGTATCTACATCTTAACTACCCAAATACACATTGACGACTCCCAAATTTGTGCCTCCAGCTTGAAAAACTCTTCTGAACTTCAGACTGTATAGCCAACCTGCTACTTGGCATCTCCCTTTGGGTGGCTAACAGGTGTCTCAAACTTACTAAACTAGGCTATCGCTCGCCAACACCCCAACCTGGTTCTCCCATATTCTTCTCCAATTCAAGTTCCAATTGCTTAGGCCAAAAGCGTTAGAGTTATTCTTGACTCTCCCCCCACCCCCTTTTCCCAGGTGGCATCCACATCCAATCCAGGATCCATCCACTTATCTCCTCCATCACTACATCCCGGTCCAAGTCATCAAATCTCACCTGAATTATGACAAAAGCCTCCTAACAATTTTCTTGCTTCTGCTGTTGGTAGTGAGCACAGATAAATACCCCTGCCTTCATAGGACTGTGTTTTTGGTGGGGGAATGCTGGCAATAAACAAGGTAAATACGGAGAGTAAAGTAGTGCATGAAAGAATCTGGAGTTTAAGATTTTTGATTACCAAAGAAGACCCCCTGAGGAAGGAGCACTTGAATAAAAAGCTAAGCAGATATCTAGAGGAATAAAATTTCTGACAAAGGGAACAGCAAGTGCAAATGTCCTGAGCCAGAAGTATGACTAGTGGGTTCAAGGACAAGCAAGGTGGTGTGGCTAGAACAGAGTATAAAAGGGATACGAAACCAGAGAGGAAGAGGGACAGTGGGCTGTCACATGGAGCCCTGTAAGCCATGATAAAGAGGTTTTTGAGGAGTCTGATGGGAAGCCACTGGGAGGTTTCAAGTGGAGGAAAGATATGATCTATTTTGTTCACCGTTGTATCCCTTGTACCTAGACCAGTGCCTGGAATATAGGATTCAATACACATCTGTGGAATGAATAAATCTACTTTTTTACAGATGAGAAAACTGGGGCACAGAGAGGATTCAGGTCACATCGTATCAGAGTGAGATTGTACACAGGCAGTTTGGCATTCATATCCAGCACACTGCAGCTCCCCTGTAGACCAGCACAGCCTGCAGGGCCCCCACAAGATTTGAAACAAGACACTGGCAGAAGTATATTCAGACATATGATCGGTATGATATGTATTATTTGGTATTCTAAGAATAGACTCTCATACCCTTTAGTCTTTTACTAAGAGTAATACTAGTGTTACTTGTACTTCAAAACTCATAATTTTTAAAAGTTAGGACTAGGCGCAATGGCTCATACTTGTAATCTTGTACTTTGGGAGGCCAAGGTGGGAGGATTGCTTGAGGTCAAGAGTTTGAGACCACTCTAGGCAAGAAGGGAGACCCTGTCTCTACAAAATATTTAAAAATTAACAAAGCATGGTGGTGTGCACCTATAATCCTAGCACTTTGGGAAGCTAAGGCAGGAGGATCATTTGAGGCCAGGAGTTTAAGCCCTGTCTGGGCAAGATAGTGAGATTCTATTTCTACAAAAAATAGAAAAATTAGCTTGTCGTAGTGGTGTGCACCTGTAGTCCCAGCTACTCAGGAGGCTGAGGCAGGAGGATTGCTTGAGCCCAGAGGTTTGAGGTTGCAGTGAGCTGTGATGATGCCATGGGACTCTAGCCTGGGCTAAAGAGCAAGATCCTGCCCCAAACCTCCCCCCAAAAAGTTATCATGCAATGATAAATATATTTGGATTTTCTGCTAAAAATAAGTCAATAAGAACATCAAGGTGTCCTTCTTTCTTAAAAAAATACAATGATATTAAAAACCATAAAGGCCAGGTTTTCAGCTTTCTGTGAATGATTTAGAGATTTTCCTTTTGTTCTACCCATTCTTGCTATACACTTAGGAAAGTTTTATTTTTCATCAGTTCAACATTTTCAGGATCTGGGAGTACATAGTACAATACGACAGGAGTAGAGAGGGACTAGGGGCATACTCCACCTGGTTGTCATCAACTAAATATTTGAATTTTTTGGCAGATCCTTGAGCAAGAGCCAGTGAGGCTGCGTAGCCTACAAGTGCCACTCCAAAAGCTTCAGTGATTACCGCAGAGAGGATGTTCATCCGGGGAGCTCTAGGTGGAGGAATTCTGCAAAAAGAAAGACCATATTGAAGTCATCAACCTTCATGTAATTTCTGTAACGACTTGCAATGAATTCAACTGTGGTAATGACTCTGAAGTTTACATAGAATAAGTGAAATACTCATGAGAAAACCAAGCAGCCTTGCCCTTAGAAGCCCTTTGTTTTCAACATTATTTAGCAGAAAAGCAAAATTGCAAGGAACACCACAGGGACAGCTGCATGCATCCAACTGGCATTTACACCCAGGGAATTCAGACTACACCACAGAAACTCTGACTCAACAAAAATTTCCTGTATCAGAACAAAAGCAAATCTGGAATGTTCTTTCATTCGAACCTTTCCAAATGTTTATTTGGCTGGCGTTAGAGACTGTATTTCCTCCCTTGAATACTACATTGCTGTATGCAAACACTAGTTTACTGTGAGGTACAATTCTTGATCTAATCTCTAAATTTTCCAGTGAGTTCATTATCTTAATTATGTTTTTAACTCAATCCTTTCATGGTACACTTAACTCTGCCTTATATATGTTAAGAAAAATATGTATAAAGGTTCCATCTACCCTCTGTTGCAAAACAGAGGACCACAGTTAGCTATTTCTCCATTTCGAAGAACGGTTTAAAATATTTCTCTCAAATAATGCCCACCCATTGTCTAATTGTCTTTTGAAAACCACTTGAGCCAAAGTATCATTATTTATTTATCCCCGATGATGCTTTGGGAAACTTACCAAAAAAAACATGTATGTGTGTATATATATATATATATACATATATATATATATATATGTATATATATATATATGTGTGTGTATATATATATATCTCCCTTGGGCAAAAATAGAAGAAAATGAGATAAGAATTCATGTTGATTTAATATCTAGTATGTAAGTAGAATGCTCTGTCCTTTCATATTAGCTATTTCATTTAATTCTTGCAACAACCCCAAAGTAAGCACCATTATACCCACTGTATGGAGGAGGAAATATTTTGGGAAAGATTAGGTAACATATCTAAAGTCATAAGGGGAATGGCAGGGCTAGGATTCAATTTCCATCTCTTGTCAAAGCCATGCTCTTTTTATAATTCCTTTAAGAGGATGGGTCTAAAAAGTTTTCTTCAAATAAAAGAGAATTAGAGGGGATGGAGGAGAGGCATGACATTTTTTACCCACTTTAACTAAAATTTATCCCCAGGACAAATTGATTTGTATCATTACAGGCCATAAGATAGACCCTGTATACAACTGCTACTATTTCAAAGTATAAGAACTTTTATTTCATGAAAATTGAATATGTTTAATTATTCATAACAAATGACCTAGAAAGAAACAAACTGACTTTCAAAGGTGCAAAAACAGATAATCCTTGAGAAAATTGAAGCTGATTCAAATAATCATCCTTAGCCCATACCTACAGAGTTTAAAGACAGAGGATTTTTTAAATTCCCTTTTTAATCCCTAAGGATTTTTCTACTGTTCCTCCATTTTAATTTAGTTAGAAACCAAAATTTGGGACTGGAAGATAAAAATTTAGAGGACCCAACAATTGTAACTTTGCCCCAAATTTATAAATATTGCTGTATATACAGCCCATTAAAAGGGAATAAGGTACCCTCCTTCTTGCCTAACATGCCGTCATTTTCTTTCAGCCTATATTTGGAACAACGTTTTGCCTTTTTAAGATGAACACTTTCTCTTATGTGAAACTTTTTCTTAGTGTTCAGAGGCAAAGTAGGGAACCACGCCTCCTCCTCCACTTCCACTCTCGCTCTTGCTGTTATCCATTACCCAGGCCTGTGGGTTTGCTATTTCAAATGATGCTTGTCTACCTTTACTATGATTTAAATGAAATAAAAATAGTCATAAAAATGTGTGGTGGGGAGGGAAATAGGGCAGACTGAATCCCAGAGCACAAGTCTAATTTTCAAAGTCAATGTCCTCCACTTTTTTTTAAATAACAGCTTTGTAAATATTTTTCAGATCTTTTACCTGAAGCAATATTGTATAAAACAATTACCAACTTCTTTAGTAATAGGTGAATAGTCTAGGAAGTTACTTTTTCTCCATACATGCAGTATTTGTTCCTATCATTTTATAGTAGAAATTTATTAGAATTTTGTCCTACACAGGGACAAAAAGAAATGAAATCCATACCCTCCCACCCCCAGTCCCTTTCTCCATCAAAAACAAACAAACAAACAAGGAATATTAACAAAAAAGACTACATTACCCTTTTGGAATATGACCAACTACTTCTAATCCATATGTGTTTTCCATATTGGTACAATAACAAGCAAATGATGCAGCAATAATCTGTGTGGTTCCATTTGAAAAAAGAAAAAAAATATTACTGGCATCTCAAAAACCTTAAAACCACTTTTTAAAAGTAAACATTGTTCTTGTGTCCCATAATTGCCAAGGGTAATATAGCAGTTTCACAGATTTTTAAAAATTAATAAAATATTAAAAATCAAAAAGTACCTCTGAGTTTTGATAGCACTTAATTTATAGTTTCAAAATTAGATGATATTCTAATAATATGGCTTTTCTAATATCCTACCCTGTGTCAACCCAATTATGTCTAATTTTGAAGGAAAGCAAAATACAGAATATATGTATAGGGGTGTGTCTGTGTGTCTGTGTGTGTGAAGACAACACAATGCAACCTAAATACTTGTCTGTTATGACATGAAGGGATGCTTTATAAAGACAGTACATTTTCCCTCCATGACGTCAACCACTCAAGAGTTTGAGATATTGCATCAATATTCCTGCTCCGTTAGTAATCAATGATGATTTACAGACTCCTTGAAATTTTTTGAATTTTGAGCTTTTACTATTTCTTGAAGTAAACATGTTACTTCATAGCCTGTCGGGCTCAGTGCTTCCAAAATGACCACCGTGAAGTCTCCGATACCCCATTCTTCTGTTACTGACGTATGCTAATAAGCAGCATCTCGCGTTTCCTAACTACACCAATAATCATCTTTAAAATGCATGTGAGAACTCAGCTCACACTTTGTTTTACCAGCCATTCCACCATAATGTTTTCCATCCATTTTCATTCTTCTGATAATTTTAATAGATACTGGAAATTTCACGTGGCTATGGTATTAGTTTGAAATGGTTTATCTTGTTAAAAGACACACACCAATTATCTACTTAAAGTGCAAATTTACCATATGCATGGGCAGAAAAAATATAATAAATTCACAATAGCAAAATAAGGAATATATAACAATTAATGCCCAATAATATAAATTTATAGAGTTTTTTTCCTATCTGTGTTTTTCTGTTCCCTGTGATGATATTTAACTGAATTTACACAGGTTTTAAAAACATCAAATGGGCTTAAAAAGAAAAGCACCATTGAGGATCTTAAAAAAGAGAAAAAGCAACAAAACTATACAGGTTATACTGTAAATTTTATAAATATTGTGATATAATAGCAGTTATCTTCTAAAAAAGTTAGTAGTAGTTAAAGATTCAGGCTATTAAGTTAAAATCAGAAGTATTAGCACATTTAAAAATTCCCAAACCAATTCATAAATTTTAACTGCTCATAATCCTCATGAGACATCTATACCAGATCAGAAAATACTGTGAGTTGTAAAGAAAACATACCATAGCTACTCCTTATTGGAAATGGAAGAATACATGATGTTCAATAGCACATAGTCAAAATTAAGTGACCTAAGTCTCTGAATTAGTCTTTCAGACAGTGTCTTACTTCTTTACTGAATATCTTTAACATAATTAAACTTCCATTATCAATCAAGTTATTTGTTCTTCTTCACTATTATTTCAATATCATATACACATATAAAGCCAGCACTGCCCTGAGATGTGGGCAAGAGGGGATCCCACCCCTAGTGGCCCAGTGCTTTCGAGGGTTCTAATCTGGCCCTCCTCCCACTGTAGTCTTTCCCGTAAGAAGGGAACTTTGTGGGAGCAGGGGGGATGTGCCCATCTCAAATATGTATCCCTCTTTCTGAATCACGTTCTAGATACTCAGGAATCTATAATATCTTTTTCCTGCCCAAATGGCCCCAAGCATGCTTGCAGAGCATCTTCCCAAGTCCATCCTCTCAGGGTGGCTCGAGGAAGGCCTAGGGACAATTGTGGTGGTGTGGAGTGGGAATGTGTTTGGAGTTTGGCCACCGGGGCAGGGCTATCCACACATACATATGTGAATCCCATTGTGGGTGGGATAGAGCTGGACAGGGAAGAGTAGGCCAAGAGGCTGGCTCTCCCCACATGGCCCCATTCTGGCAGAACTCAAAGGAACAGGAGAATTCTCTGTTCTAACCTGGATTTCAAGGTCATCGCTAAGGTACATTAATCAAGATAGGAAAAAAAATCTGTTGCATTTAACATATGGATGCAACATATTGTTACGTTTAATGTATTGATTGACATGTTACATTGATACTTTTGCCTTGGGTCTTACAAATGTTGGGCCAACATTGTATAAGGAATACCTTTTTTTTTTAAATAAGAATAATTCTTACTAGTTTCACAGAGAATAAGCAACAGTTTGATTACTATCTCAAGGGACTTCCTCTCTAAGGTTATATTCAATTTTTGGTTTTGTGAAACTTACGTAATATAGCATCCAAGGTATAATAAATATTTCTTTAATATCAAAAGGACTTTGAAATACGATGATATGTTTTATAGTAGTTGCTGTGAAAACTAATAATCATAGTACTCTGTACTTTCATGGCATATTTGAAATACACACATATACATATCATATAGATTACATGTTATATATAACTCAACAAATCACATGTTATATATAACTCAACAAATCCTGGCTATGGAGAGAGGGCTTCCATCTTAGTTGTATAGAAACAAGTCATAACCTTCACAGACAGTTTCCAATGGACTAGCCTTAAAACCATACATAAACCTACACTGTTTCAGCAGCATAAAGGAATATTTCAATAGATGAAATTATTTAGGTACCATTTGCAGTATGTATATATAACCCAAATATCATTAAAAAGTTCAAGCCAATTAATGATAAGTAAGTTAGTAGATCATGGTTATGTTAACATTTAATTTTCAACTTAATTCTTTGTTTACTTAAGAGTTCCCATTAGAAATTCTTAAAAATTTCAAAATGTATGTTTTTAATGCCGTAAGTCTTACGAGCAAAGTATAATGTATTGTTTTCCCAGATACAACAAAATAACATTTTAGAGAACCAGCCCTGGCCAATAAAAATCATAAGTATCCTTTCAATAAAGCAAAATTAGGTCAGAAAAAAAGTATCAACAAACCTACCAATCGTTAATGGACATTTGTCAATTGATAATATTTCTAGGCACACCAAACAGGTGCCATATCAAATGTAATACCACAAGAGGGTGTGGTATTACATTCTATTGCTTTACAGAAGATCAAGCCAGAGATCTTTTGCATCTCACCTTTGGAAATATCTCCTTACTTAAGAACTTAGGCATATGTTCTCTTATTTATATAAAAAATTATAAGCATATAAAAAAATGCTGTATAAATTAAAAACATGTGTGCCTCCTTTTTTAAATTATTGACTCAAAATGTTTCCTATTCTTACATTAATATATAGCCACGCAAATTAGCCTCACTTTAATAAGAGACAGGAGTAGCTGTGGGTCACTATAGACAATATAGGAAGCATCTGCCGATCACCCCAACAATTGGCGAGATTTGTATGGCAGAAAGCTAAATGTTGATTTCATACTTACCAAAACTAAATCGACGGGAAGAACAACTTTAATTTTCCTTTTAAACTGTTCATTCAGCTCTTTAACAAGAACAAGGACCACGATGCTCAGCAAGGATAAGAGCAATGCTTCCAGTCGGACAGACTTGATGTTTTCAAAGACATAAGCATAAATCTGCAGTAATGGGCAAAACACAAACAAAATCGAGGGTCACTCACAATATACCAACATGAACATCTGGCTGCATATAAACTCAGTGATGTTTTGTAAAAATATCTTAATGGCTAGGGGTGAAAAGGTAGAGGTGGAAGGGTTGTCGGTGCCGATGTAGAACAAAGTTATGTATTCATTTGCGTGTACAGAATTGCCATGCCCTTGATTCTTCCATCAAACTCAAGGTTTGCACCTTCCTGTGTAAGAATACTAATAAATGGAATGACCCTTCTGGCTCCTTCTTGACACATCAAGAGGTAGAGATGCTATAACTCATTAGTTACACAGTTTCATCATTAAGAGCAGTGAGGGAAACACAGGCTCTGCACCTTTGGACCCCACCACTCTTCCTCAAACCCAGAAGCAAACAAGCACACATATAAGTCGCACACAAAGGACTTAAGAGCTGGTACTTAACTGACATCAGATATTCAGCTTAATGTAGAATATTACCACGTTCTCAGTCATTCGACATTTATTTATTTGTTTAATGCCACCTACTTTATGCCAAACAGTATGTCCTGTGCTAGATCTAGGATGGTGAACAATTTAGATACGTCTTCGTATTCACGGATCTCTCTGTCTATTGTAGGAATTTCTAATTAAAGCAATAAATGACTGCAGTACACTGATACGGACATCAAAGGGGCACCCGAAGTCTATCAGTGGTCAGGGGGCCCTTTCGAAAGAAGATAAGTGGGAATTGGCCAGGTTAGGGATGGTGGGCGAGGTGAAGAGAAGGAATCTGGGGGAAAATGTTCTGCCTAAAGAGCACATTTGTAAAACTTAGAACGTAGACTGTGTGAAGAGGAATGTATGACTTCCTGAAAAATATGGTCAAGAAACCAATGCAAGTATTTGTCTTTAAAATTAGCAGGTCTCTTTGAAATTATGCCAACGTCAAAAAATTTGCATCAAACTAGGAAGAAGGTATAATTCATTAATATCAGATACTTAATCTTGGTAACTTGGGATAATCTGACTTGGCATAGAAAGTAAGGTAAATATAAGAGTAATGTCAAGGAAAAGAGTAATATTCGAGCCCTTTCTAAAACCAAAAGCATATGTTTATGCAACTAAGGCCAATAGCATTTTGCTCAACAACTTAGAATCTTGTTAATAATTATACGAGCATCTGATCTACTAGCATAAAAAAGATAGGGTGAGATTTTAAAGAACCCTAAGGTGAATGCTAAAGGGAAATGATAATAACTAGCCTAAATCCAACCCTTGCTGCATGAACATTTGATGTAAAGAAACCTAACTGGGATTTTGTATGGAAAATTAACACAATGATTCTCAAATTCGTATAGAATATTAAATGTGCTGCATATATAAAAAAGTTTGAAAGAGAAGACTAATTATAGGTTTATTCCACCAAATATAAATATACATGTATAATAAGTTAAAACATAATACTAGTATTGAAATACATAAGAAAAATTTTAAAACAATGAAAACCCAGAAGCACATAACAATTGCATCATAGAAAAAATTATACAATATACCATATATAAACAAAAATTAAGCAAATAAAATAAATTCTAGATTTTAAAAAGAGTTAAATATAAAACCTGAAGTCATAGAAAATGAAGACATTGTTTTAAAATTAGGCAGAAGGCATAAATAATTAATAAAAGAAATACAAATGTTCAATAAATATGAACAAAGAACTCAACCATACTAGTAAGCAAAGAAATGTAAATTCAGACAATAAAAAAGCATTTTCTTCTTTTAGCAAATTATGCCTAATTTTTAAATGATAATTAATCATTTAAATAGTGAACTTTGGGGGCAGAAATGGGAACTATTTTACATGCTCTTGTCAGTATAAATTGGTACAATTTTTTGGTGATCAGATGAAACATCAAAAACCTTTGTAGTAATCATTTCAAAATGCATACATGTATCAAAACATCACATTGTGTACCTTGAATATACACAAGTTTTATTTGTCAATTATATTTAAATAAAGCTGAAAAAATTAAATTAAATTTAAAAAACCTTTGAGATGTTCTATTCTTTGCCTCAGCAGTTCTACTTCAAGACATTAAGCTATAAACATAATTAGCCTCATGTGAAAAGACCTGTTACAAAGATATTCACTGAAGCATTTTTTAAAATAGCACAAAGTAAATTGAAACCATTTAAATAGTAAAACAAAAGCAAACTGGCTGAATTCATTAGGTCACATATATGCATATAATAGTCTATATCCATTAAACACATTATTTTAGACAAAACATATACTTATTGACATGGAAAGGCCTTTCTGTTATGACACTGTGAAAAGCAAATTTCAAATAAATATGTATAGTTTGATATTGCTATCAGCTGAATTGTGCCCCCTCCACAAAATTCATATGTTGAAGTCCTAACCCCTAGTACTTCAGAAAGTGACTATATTTGGAAAAGGGCTTTTAAAGGGGTAAGAAGGTAAAATGAGGTCATATAAGTGGGCTCTAATTCAATCGGACTGGTGTCCTTACAAGAAAAGATTAGAAGACAGACATGCACCGTGCACGAAGGAAAAACCACATGAGGACACAGCAAGAAGGCCGCCCTCTGCAAGCCAAGGAGAGAGGCCTCAGAAGAAACCAAAACTGTCAACACCTTAATTATGTACTTTCAGCCTCAAGAACTGTGAGAAATAAATCTGTCGTTAAAGCACCCAGTCTATAGTATTTGTTATGATAATCCTAGCGAACTAATACAGACATTTTTTTATAAAATAAAAATTCATAGTTTAAGTATCTATGGATATATCTGGAATGTTAATAGCTCTGCATAAGACATTTGCATTTATATTATCTTCTATGTTCTCTTATGAAGATATATCATTTAGATCATTTTAATGGCTTCAAATAGGCCTCGAATGCTTATCTTCAATATGTCTCTTAACTTCTCCTTCTCTTGGACGTGCTGAATCTGGTTTTTATAGCTTCATTTTTATTTTCCATAGCAAATTTCTCAAGTCTAGTTTCAGGCAATAAAGACTAGTTTTTATTTCAGCACACAGGTTATTCTTATAGTAGCCCAACTTATTGGTGTTCTCTGTCCTCTCTATTTAGTATATCAAATATAATTTGACCACAAGCAAAAATATCGGGTCAAAATATATTATAGACTATGGGTCAAAAGAACTTATATGGACTTAGCATCTCTTAGAATTCTGTTTAGTCGGTATCCTCATCAGGAATGTACAGGTGGTAAAGGAGATGCATCAGGCTACCTGGGGTGGGATCCTGTGTGTTGAATGTTATTATTAACATTCTAAACCTTTCAAACAATGAAAATGTACTCAGTTAAAAGTGGAGCCTCACAGGGTGAAAGGAATAGGGGTAATGCCAGTTATCCAGAAACCCTTTTGTCCATACAGTTAAAACAACAACAAAACACTAGCTGTATAATTAGCTACATTAAGAAATGAATTAGAGGTCAGATAGCTTTACTTATTATCTCTCACCATATTCTATTTTATTCCATACTACTTGGAAAGAAAATTAGGTACTACAATATCGTAATTATCTGAGATACAGATATTTCTCCTCTCTGTCTCTCTATATTGTGGTTGGTAATTATTCACAGGATTCCTACAGCAAGTCAAGGAACAGGGTCCATTTCTCAAAGTTACCCACTACTTAAAGCCCAAGATAAAAATTCAAAATGCTGTTCAGTGAAATATATTCTACAGGAGACGGGGATAGAGGAGATGTCAAAAAAATTTTGTCCAAATTTTTTTCTGATAGTTTATAATGATCCAAAGATAAAATTGATACTATTACTCAGAATGATTTGTTAGGAAAAAGATAAACATCTAAATGTTTTAAAGCATTTAAAGGAGAATTCTTTGTGCTTTTTTTTCCATGGTATTAAAAGTATGCCTGTGTAAGAAAGTGCCTGTATAAGAAAGGGGAGAAATATACAAAACTCCCAAGCCATATAAAATTTGCTGTAGTGTGCATTTCAAGAACATGTGTTTGCAGTAATAAAAATGACCACCCCAGAATGAAAGGAATGAGAAAAAACCCCAGGGCTTTTATTGTCTGTCTGGATTAAACTACAACTCATCAAGCAGAGCACATCTCACAAGATGCTCCAACCGAATGTGGGGGTGGCCAGAAGCTCATTACGACCAGCATGAGGAACACAATAGAAAAAGAGGCTAGTGAGGAGTGTCATTCTAATGAATGTCATTTGGACCCACAGAGAAAAATCATAAGCTAAAGCCAGCTCATAGGAGACGGCGGCACATAGGAGCTGGTAGAGATAGGGACAGAGCTAAGGACAGACACACCCACACACCCACGCACACACACACAGGTATTTACATATGCTCATTTAATAGAGTTCTAGGCATCCTAAGCATGTCTTAAATGTCTCATTTCTAGCATAAATCCAGTCATCTGAGTATGCTATCGTGCACTAAGCTCCACAGATAAAAATTCCTTTTGAGGGTCATCATTTGCTTCCCAGATCTCAGAGAAGCAAAGATAATGTTTATATCTATATGGATAAATAAATAAGCTATTTCATCAGAACTGACCAATCTGTTTAATAAAAGAAGAGTTCAGCTCATTCTGAGATTATATTAGTTCTTTAAATTGACCATTTATCACAACTTGACATAAAATGAAAAATATCAGTAACATTTAATAAACCTATTTTGAGATATTTCAAAGAATGAAAATCACCTATTCATAGTTCATATATTGTTTCTTATTATTCTTTCTGAAGCATTTCATGGTTATTTATACACACACATATACATGTAAAATATTTACATTAATGTATTGTATTTTAATCTGATTGGTTATTCTTTATACTTTTTTGTTTATTGTTTTGTTTTTTTTCTTTTTTTACTGATTGAGTCTCAACTCTTAGAATGGTGTCTGGAAAGAAAATAGGTACTCAATAAATATTGTTGAATGACTGGATAACATAGTAATAGTGACAGTAAA